TGTGTGTGTGTGTGTGTGTGTGTGTGTGTGTGTGTGTGTGTGTGTATGTGTGTGTATGTGTGTGGATGTGTGGTGGTGGTGTTGGGGGGGAAGGGGGCTGATGCAGGAAACCATAGCTCACAGCCTTATACGTTGCGGAGGCCACGAAACAGGTCGAGTGACCCTTGCTGCTCCATTGGAAAGGCCGACGATTCGTGGCATGGTTCGTTGATCAGCTATCTGATTGTCATTCTCCTCTCGTGTTTGATTGGCACCTGCCTTTACATTCAGTCTCTTGGCGGCGGAAATCTAGCATGGATGAAGGCGCATTTGACCACACTTGCAATTTATTTGGTCGCAGCAGTTATTTTTTTCACTATTCCTATTGCAACCACCCTCACGCTGCAGACCCTCCCTGTCCAGGCCAAGTTATTGGCCTTATCCGCTGTACTTCTGAACCTGGTCTTATTGGGTCTGTATGATACAGGCGCCTCATTTGAACACCATGGCCAGTACAATGCACTTGTGTTTGCAGCCATACTCTTCCCCATTAACAGTATTATTTATTCGTCCGTCGTCCTTTACCGGTACTTTCCGCGCAGATGCCCGCCCTTCACGGTTTGCCTATTGATTGTCTTGGTTTCGGCAGTATCCCTTCAGCTGATGCGATACCGGCGTGTCTACCCCCAAGGCCTCCCTGGAAAGCAAGCTTTGAATGTGTTGCCTACAGGCGAACATCTGTGCCCTCTTCAGCCTGGAATACCGTGGCAAGATCTTCTTCCCAAAGGGGCCATGAACTTCTGGACCGGGTCGCAAGCTTGCCCCCCCAACAAGTATGTGCTGCAGGTCGAGGTTTCGCCGAACGGAACAATGAAGGTGGACGGATGTCCTTCTCACGAGTCCCTATCCTATGTGCCATTCCCGGACACGAAAGCGTGGAACACTTCGTCGAAGGAAATGTATCAGATAAACAAAGAGGTGCTTGCGCAACTCAAGGAGATCCCGTACGGTCCGTCAGCACAACTTCCGCCGGATTGCGAGTCTTTCCTCGTCCAATGTGGCTACGCCACACGACAGCTGTTCTTCCGTAAGACACAAAGGCAAGCCTCATCGCCATCGCCATCGCCATCGCCCTCTCTGAAAGCATCTCCGCAGCAATACAACATACTGGTTCTCTTCATCGATGCCGTTTCGCACCGTCACTTCTATCGTAAGTTGCCTCTGACGGCGGAGGTCCTGTTCCAAATGACAAAGAAGAGTGGATTTTCACTGCACGAGTACTTCCGCTACTCGCTTGCAGGTTTCAACACCGATCCGAACACGCTTGCTCTCTACACCGGACATTTATGGGATGAAGGGGAGACTTCGCACCGCCATGAGCCCCTTTGGGAGGGGTTACATCGCAATGGGTACGTTACGGCTTGGATGAATGATGACTGCGACGACTGGAGCGTGTCTTGCATGAAACGCACCACTTCGTATGCGCTCTCGCACGAGCTTCTGGCACCGTTTTGCCACCCAGAGTACTTTCCAGCAGTCGGCCATCCATATGGCAACTTCAAGGGTCCGTACTCTATACGCAGGAGATGCCTTTTTGGCCACTATGTCCATCACCACGCCTTTGCCTGGGTAAACCATATGGTCTCTCTTTATCACAAGAAACAGCCGTTTGCTTTCTTTAACTCATTTATCGAAGGGCATGAGGGATCGGGCGAAGTTCTCTCCACGATGGATGCAGAGCTCGCCGATTTCCTCAAAAAGGCGTCGGACTCGGGACTCTTCGAAGATACTGTGTTGCTCCTCCTAAGCGATCACGGAAACCATATGTCGCTTTCTTATGTGTACACGGAGAACGGTCGGCAAGAGCATGAGTCGCCTTTCCTATTTGTTTCAGTGCCGGATTCGCTGGCTGCGGCTGCGGATGTCGACGACCCCTCGCGAACCGTGGGCCAGAACCTCGAAAGGAACGAACAGGTGCTTGTGAACGCGTTTGACATCCACTTCTTTCTGAGAGTTCTCGTTCAGTGGCAAGACAGGGAAAATCTGCACGGCGACGCCCAAGGATGGTGGCGGCAGAGTCTGTTGTCAAACAAACGCGCCAACAGGACGTGCGAAGAGGCCAAGGTTCCCGACAACTTCTGCTGGTGTCACCACCCGAACAGTATGCTTCCTTAGTTTTACCGACGTGAATTTTTATGAAGGCGTTCTTCATTTTTTTTTAATCATTTTTAAATGATTTTTTTTGCATTTATATACCTATGATTCATCATTGTCTAGGAGGAAGTCACAAATCTTATTTTCTTACAAGCATTGATTACAGTCGAGAGTGTTTGTTTTTTTTCCCCTTTTTCAAGCGTTGATTATATGTACGTAATCTATTTTTTATTCGTTTCACTGCTTTCACACTTGGCTTGCGCTTTTTCTTCGGAAGGTTGTGCAAGGGTATTACTTTTTTATGCTCTGCTTTGTGGAAGCCTCCCCAACATGGGATTTAGGAATTATTATTCTGCATATAATATAATATAATTGATGCTTGTGTTACGTGGATGGGAATTAGCAATTCTCATGATCAGATCAGCGTGGATTTCTTAATCGAATCAGACCATTTGGATTGGATAGATCCGAGTTGTGGATTCGGTTTGGATTTACCAGCATGGCCGACTATAAATAGATTATCTGTTGAAGAGGAGAGATCGCGGATCAGGGTGTCGTCATTGCCTTTCCATCGTTACTTCTGGCTTTGAGCTACCAGAAGTCAGAAATCTATTTTTATTTTTTTAGCATATACCCATTCTCTTGCGCAAAACCGGGGAGCTCAAAACAGGGGCTCACCAGATCCCTAAAGTTTCTGTTGAGATCTTGGAGTCTTTGCTGCCAGAAATCTATTTTTAGCATATACCCATTCTCTTGCGCAAAACAGGGGCTCACCAGACCCCTAAAGTCTCTGTTGAGATCTTGGAGTCTTTGCTGCAGCTCCCAGGTAAGAAGGTTAGGGGCAAGTGGCTCTGCAATGTGTGTTTAGGTCCTGGAGTTTTTTGCTGCAGCTCTCAGGTCGGAACGTTAGCACAAGTGGCTCTGCTACGTGTTTAGATTCTTTAGATTCCTTAGTGCCTGGGGGATTTGTTATAGCTCAGGTCAGAAGGTTAAGAACAAGTGGCTCTGCTGTGTGTTTAGATCCTGGAGTTTTTTTGCTGCAGCTCTCAGGTCAGAAGGTTAGCACAAGTGGAACACCCTTGTGGGCTATGGTAGCGCCCGCCGGGGGGAACGCATTTCTGCGACTCCACGGCAGGCGTGGGTTGGTTTAGGTCTTAAGTCTAGATAGAGAGGTCTGGGTCACACCGCTGTAGGGCTCGACTTGCGATAAGATTAGAATGTAACAGGTCACGAATAATGCCCCCTGGAGGAAGACTCTCCGTGGGGTTGTCACAAGCCATCAGACCTCCTCACTGGTCGAGTACGACGACAGGCACCTCCCGAGGCTTAGCATCCACCCTCACACACACACACACACACACACACACACACACACAGAGAGAGAGAGAGAGAGAGAGAGAGAGAGAGAGAGAGAGAGAGAGAGAGAGAGAGAGAGAGAGAGACATGTTTTGATTGGTAATGCAATGAGAAACTGTTCGAGGTTTCCACAGAACGAATGTCGTGTGTTCGCAATTGCATGCGTGGGGTCTTTGTGTGATCGTGATGAATCCAATACCATCTTTGTGATGTGTGCTTTACATCGGTGTTTGCTGTGCATGTGATTGTGTGAGTAACTCGTCGCCATGCGTTCGTGAGATTCAGTGTTCCATATATAGTGATGGATGAGCTATGTTTGTACTTTGTCGGAAAAATGGACATCGCTCTTAAATGGTCGACAACGCAGAGGTGACACACATTGGGCATTGAATGCCTTTTTTAAAGCACATGACCATCACACCACCCACACGAACGCAACAATATATGCGAAATCACAGGCAGTCGCAGCGCTAAATCACACAGGTACTTTTCGAGAAATTAAGTACACGGACGCCAACAAGAAGGGGCACATACATGCTTGGGAAGCGCATCCATCCCCAACACAATGTCATCACGTGTTCGAATAGAACACAGAATAAGAAGGACAAATTTACAACCCAGGTGAACATCATATAACATTTCGGCTGACGCGTTTGGAAAGCACAAGGCACGGCATGACAGGTCGTCCAAAGAACTAACAGACTGTCGTGTGCAAGAGAAGTTCGTTAATCAGATGTCTTAAAAAAACACAATTGCCCATAGAGGGATCGAATTGCATGTACGGAATTGAAAAAGTTGAAATAACCATGATGACCAAAGAAAACTAACCAACCGACGACACATGGCTGCGACGATTGTCTACCAAAAAACTGCAGCCCGTGACACGTGTGTGGGTCCTGGCGTCCTAGGAGGCCCACACAAGACTACACGTCCACTACGAAGAGGCAACACACTACCCACACGATGATGCGAAAAAGAACACTGGCGACGACGTATGATCACGAGCATCCACCACCACAATGCGATAAAATAAACACGTGACGCTATGAATACAGACAACTTTCACAAACTTTGTCTCCGAATCTGTCGTCACAATCACTCCAATGTCGAGCTTCGTGAGAGGCCACCCATCCTCAACCAATGCGCTCCTCAGTATTAGGGTTTCTCCTGTCGAGGTCTCCATGCACACTGGCCTCAAGGGACGCTGGATGATCGGGTGGTGGTAGTCAAGGAGTGAGGCCCTGTGTGGGGTAATCAAGGTCTGATTGAGGGTGACGAGATACGTACCTGGTACATGAAGAGAGGTCGCCGATGGTGTTGACAGCCATGTACATTGGTCTTCGTGAGCCGAAGTGATCCTGTTGTGTGAACCAGCTGTAGAGTAGGATAGTATGGTAGAGTAGGCTGGGCGCTGTGCGCCAGACAGAGAAAGCGACTCTGGATACTGTGTTGGTGTGGCCTACGGGCTTGGACATTGGCTCAATACTTCATTGCATTGCTCTTTATGGATGGTTTTTTCGGTGCATTTGTACTCTCTACTTGGGATACTACTACTTGCTCAGTTGTGTGATTTCGCAACTTGGTTTTATGTATATTGCTCACTCTCATATTCCTTGCAACTTCGTCACCCCAAGCTAATTTCGTTGTCATGTGGTAATGACTTTTTTACTTCTTTTATCTTTTCATTTTAGAGAACGAGGTGTTTTTTTTTTCTTTGCATTTTACTACGGTTTTTGAGAACGAGTTTTTTTAGCTTCTTTTTTAACTTTTTCTTTGCACGTTAGAGGTATCTAAGTGAGACAGCTGAGGAGAGCAAGACGTAATTTTTTTATCAACCATCAGGGGTACAGGTACCTGGCTGTTATCCTATAAGCTGGTACATTGAATTTCACGATAAGAAAAACCTGGTGTCACTCACCCCAAGACTACCGGTAGGCTAGGGTTGTCGCCCACAGATCCCCGGGGCCCAAGTCGGGGTGGGGCTTTCMCCCCTGGMCCCCCGCCCCTGGCCCAACCCCGGCATCCCCGCCCCCACACCCCGCACCCCAGCCGCGGCCACCCCTGCACCCCTGTCCCCCCCACCCACACCCCCAGCCC